GCCCACATCTACATCTGAATCAATGACAACAGCTGGATCAACAACGGTAGATCAACCAACAACAACTGAAACCACAACTCAAATGGAAACATCAACTTTGCCCACATCTACATCTGACTCAACGACAACAGCTGGATCAACAACGGTTGATCAACCAACAACAACTGAAACCACAACTCAAATGGAAACATCAACTTTGCCCACAGCTACATCTGACTCAACGACAACAGCTGGATCAACAACGGTAGATCAACCAACAACAACTGAAACCACAACTCAAATGGAAACATCAACTTTGCCCACATCTACATCTGAATCAATGACAACAGCTGGATCAACAACGGTAGATCAACCAACAACAACTGAAACCACAACTCAAATGGAAACATCAACTTTGCCCACATCTACATCTGACTCAACGACAACAGCTGGATCAACAACGGTAGATCAACCAACAACAACTGAAACCACAACTCAAATGGAAACATCAACTTTGCCCACATCTACATCTGACTCAACGACAACAGCTGGATCAACAACGGTTGATCAACCAACAACAACTGAAACCACAACACAAATGGAAACATCAACTTTGCCCACATCTACATCTGACTCAACGACAACAGCTGGATCAACAACGGTAGATCAACCAACAACAACTGAACCCACAACTCAAATGGAAACATCAACTTTGCCCACATCTACATCTGACTCAACGACAACAGCTGGATCAACAACGGTAGATCAACCAACAACAACTGAAACCACAACTCAAATGGAAACATCAACTTTGCCCACATCTACATCTGAATCAACGACAACAGCTGGATCAACAACGGTTGATCAACCAACAACAATTGAAACCACAACTCAAATGGAAACATCAACTTTGCCCACATCTACATCTGAATCAACGACAACAGCTGGATCAACAACGGTAGATCAAACAACAACAACTGAAACCACAACTCAAATGGAAACATCAACTTTGCCCACATCTACATCTGAATCAACGACAACAGCTGGATCAACAACGGTAGATCAAACAACAACAACTGAAACCACAACACAAATGGAAACATCAACTTTGCCCACATCTACATCTGAATCAACGACAACAGCTGGATCAACAACGGTAGATCAAACAACAACAACTGAAACCACAGCTCAAATGGAAACATCAACTTTGCCCACATCTACATCTGACTCAACGACAACAGCTGGATCAACAACGGTAGATCAACCAACAACAACTGAAACCACAACTCAAATGGAAACATCAACTTTGCCCACATCTACATCTGAATCAACGACAACAGCTGGATCAACAACGGTAGATCAACCAACAACAACTGAAACCACAGCACAAATGGAAACATCAACTATGCCGACATCTACATCTGAATCAACGACAACAGCTGGATCAACAACGGTAGATCAACCAACAACAACTGAAACCACAACTCAAATGGAAACATCAACTTTGCCCACATCTACATCTGACTCAACGACAACAGCTGGATCAACAACGGTAGATCAACCAACAACAACTGAAACCACAACTCAAATAGAAACATCAACTTTGCCCACATCTACATCTGACTCAACGACAACAGCTGGATCAACAACGGTAGATCAACCAACAACAACTGAAACCACAACTCAAATGGAAACATCAACTTTGCCCACATCTACATCTGACTCAACGACAACAGCTGGATCAACAACGGTAGATCAAACAACAACAACTGAAACCACAACTCAAATGGAAACATCAACTTTGCCCACATCTACATCTGAATCAACGACAACAGCTGGATCAACAACGGTAGATCAACCAACAACAACTGAAACCACAACACAAATGGAAACATCAACTTTGCCTACATCTGAATCAACGACAACAGCTGGATCAACAACAATAGATCAAACAACAACAACTGAAACCACAACTCAAATGGAAACATCAACTTTGCCCACATCTACATCTGACTCAACGACAACAGCTGGATCAACAACGGTAGATCAACTAACAACAACTGAAACCACAACACAAATGGAAACATCAACTTTGCCCACATCTACATCTGAATCAACGACAACAGCTGGATCAACAACGGTAGATCAACTAACAACAACTGAAACCACAACACAAATGGAAACATCAACTTTGCCCACATCTACATCTGAATCAACGACAACAGCTGGATCAACAACAGTAGATCAACCAACAACAACTGAAACCACAACTCAAATGGAAACATCAACTTTGCCCACATCTACATCTGACTCAACGACAACAGCTGGATCAACAACGGTAGATCAAACAACAACAACTGAAACCACAATTCAAATGGAAACATCAACTTTGCCCACATCTACATCTGACTCAACGACAACAGCTGGATCAACAACGGTAGATCAACCAACAACAACTGAAACCACAACTCAAATGGAAACATCAACTTTGCCCACATCTATATCTGAATCAACGACAACAGCTGGATCAACAACAGTAGATCAAACAACAACAACTGAAACCACAACTCAAATGGAAACATCAACTTTGCCCACATCTACATCTGAATCAACGACAACAGCTGGATCCACAACGGTAGATCAACCAACAACAACTGAAACCACAACACAAATGGAAACATCAACTTTGCCCACATCTACATCTGAGTCAACGACAACAGCTGGATCAACAACGGTAGATCAACCAACAACAACTGAAACCACAACTCAAATGGAAACATCAACTTTGCCCACATCTACATCTGACTCAACGACAACAGCTGGATCCACAACGGTAGATCAACCAACAACAACTGAAACCACAACACAAATGGAAACATCAACTTTGCCCACATCTACATCTGAGTCAACGACAACAGCTGGATCAACAACGGTAGATCAACCAACAACAACTGAAACCACAACTCAAATGGAAACATCAACTATGCCGACATCTACATCTGAATCAACGACAACAGCTGGATCAACAACGGTAGATCAAACAACAACAACTGAAACCACAACTCAAATGGAAACATCAACTTTGCCCACATCTACATCTGAATCAACGACAACAGCTGGATCAACAACGGTAGATCAACCAACAACAACTGAAACCACAACTCAAATGGAAACATCAATTATGCCCCCATCTACATCTGACTCAACGACAACAGCTGGATCAACAACGGTAGATCAACCAACAACAACTGAAACCACAACTCAAATGGAAACATCAAATATGCCCACATCTACATCTGACTCAACGACAACAGCTGGATCAACAACGGTAGATCAACCAACAACAACTGAAACCACAACACAAATGGAAACATCAACTTTGCCCACATCTACATCTGAATCAACGACAACAGCTGGATCAACAACGGTAGATCAAACAACAACAACTGAAACCACAACTCAAATGGAAACATCAACTTTGCCCACATCTACATCTGACTCAACGACAACAGCTGGATCAACAACGGTAGATCAACCAACAACAACTGAAACCACAACACAAATGGAAACATCAACTTTGCCCACATCTACATCTGAATCAACGACAACAGCTGGATCAACAACGGTAGATCAACCAACAACAACTGAAAACACAACTCAAATGGAAACATCAACTATGCCCACATCTACATCTGAATCAACGACAACAGCTGGATCAACAACGGTAGATCAACCAACAACAACTGAAACCACAACTCAAATGGAAACATCAACTATGCCCACATCTACATCTGAATCAACGACAACAGCTGGATCAACAACGGTAGATCAACCAACAACAACTGAAACCACAACTCAAATGAAAACATCAACTATGCCCACATCTACATCTGAATCAACGACAACAGCTGGATCAACAACGGTAGATCAACCAACAACAACTGAAACCAGAACTCAAATGGAAACATCAACTATGCCCACATCTACATCTGAATCAACGACAACAGCTGGATCAACAACGGTAGATCAACCAACAACAACTGAAACCACAACTCAAATGGAAACATCAACTATGCCCACATCTACATCTGACTCAACGACAACAGCTGGACCAACAACAGTAGATCAACCAACAACAACTGAAACCACAACACAAATGGAAACATCAACTTTGCCCACATCTACATCTGAATCAACGACAACAGCTGGATCAACAACGGTAGATCAAACAACAACAACTGAAACCACAACTCAAATGGAAACATCAACTTTGCCCACATCTACATCTGAGTCAACGACAACAGCTGGATCAACAACGGTAGATCAACCAACAACAACTGAAACCACAACTCAAATGGAAATATCAATTATGCCCACATCTACATCTGAATCAACGACAACAGCTGGATCAACAACGGCAGATCAACCAACAACAACTGAAACCACAACTCAAATGGAAACATCAACTATGCCCACATCTACATCTGAATCAACGACAACAGCTGGACCAACAACAGAAGATCAACCAACAACAACTGAAACCACAACACAAATGGAAACATCAACTTTGCCCACATCTACATCTGACTCAACGACAACAGCTGGATCAACAACGGTAGATCAACCAACAACAACTGAAACCAAAACTCAAATGGAAACATCAACTTTGCCCACATCTACATCTGAATCAACGACAACAGCTGGATCCACAACGGTAGATCAACCAACAACAACTGAAACCACAACACAAATGGAAACATCAACTTTGCCCACATCTACATCTGAATCAACGACAACAGCTGGATCAACAACGGTAGATCAACCAACAACAACTGAAACCACAACACAAATGGAAACATCAACTTTGCCCACATCTACATCTGACTCAACGACAACAGCTGGATCAACAACGGTAGATCAACCAACAACAACTGAAACCACAACACAAATGGAAACATCAACTTTGCCCACATCTACATCTGAATCTTCGACAACAGCTGAATCAATAATGGTAGTTCAACCAACAACAACTGAAACCACATCTACCACTCAATCAACAACGACTGCACCAACATCTACCACTCAGTCAACAACGACTGCACCAACATCTACCACTCAGTCAACAACAACTGCACAAACATCTACCACTCAGTCAACAACGACTGCACCAACATCTACCACTCAGTTAACAACAACTGCACCAACATCTACCACTCAGTTAACAACAACTGCACCAACATCTACCACTCAGTCAACAACGACTGCACCAACATCTACGACTCAGTTAACAACAACTGCACCAACATCTACCACTCAGTTAACAACAACTGCACCAACATCTACCACTCAGTCAACAACGACTGCACCAACATCTACCACTACAACGACTGCACCAACATCTACCACTCAGTCAACAACGACTGCACCAACATCTACCACTCAGTCAACAACAACTGCACCAACATCTACCACTACAACGACTGCACCAACATCTACCACTCAGTCAACAACAACTGCACCAACATCTACCACTCAGTCAACAACGACTGCACCAACATCTACCACTCAATCAACAACAACTGCACCAACATCTACCACTCAGTCAACAACAACTGCACCAACATCTACCACTCAGTCAACAACGACTGCACCAACATCTACCACTCAGTCAACAACAACTGCACCAACATCTACGACTCAGTCAGCAACAACTGCACCAACATCTACCACTCAGTCAACAACAACTGCACCAACATCTACCACTCAGTCAACAACAACGGCACCAACATCTACCACTCAATCAACAACGGTACCAACATCTACCACTCAGTTAACAACAACTGCACCAACATCTACCACTCAATCAACAACGACTGCACCAACATCTACCACTCAGTCAACAACAATGGCACCAACATCTACCACTCTGTCAACATTTTCATCTCCAGATGCTCCTCCCCGAAGTAAGCAAAATTTATTTTATCTGTTTATGCAGTTTTTTGTTATACACCACCAAGATTTTCTTATTAAAATTGTATTCACCTATCACTGATATAAATCTGTGAATTTGAATTTTACAGATATGACAGCATCTGCTTATGCAACTTTAAAATTGAGATCCTTTGTTGAGCTGAGCAATGATGAGATCATTTCATATATTGACATGGTAAGCTAATATTTTATCTTTTAACTATTTTGTTTAATTTTAAAAATGTACTTTCTGTTGAGTTCAACAAATTATTAAGAACAAAAATATATCCAGCAAGCAATTACAATTTAAATGTATTGTATCCATGGCAGGAAGGAAACAAGAACTCTCTTAACTCTCTCTTTTAAAGGGGTTATATAGAATTCAGAACCCTTTGTTATTAGTGACACCGGTGGCCGTTAAGTAAACTGCACCCAGCAACTTATTGCTCGCACTCCTGCACACATAATTTACAAGAGACTGAACGTGATCCAATACCCCAATATATTCACAACAAAGTTCTTTTTCGTTCTTTACTTAGAAGAAAAAAGAAATTGAAAATACCTTTGCAGTGATGTACTGTTAACAAAGAGCCCTACACTGTCCACGCTGCTGAGAGCGACGTTTAGATGGATATATAAATACCATATGTGCCGTGCGCTTTTCTCTCAATAACAAATTAAACACATTAAAAAATTTGAGCGTTAAGAAAGCAGCATTTAAAGGGATAGTTCGCCTAAAAATTAAAATTAGCCCATGATTTACTCACCCTGAAGCCATCCTAGGTGTATATGATATTGTTATTTCAGACGAATACAATCGGAGTTATATAAAAAAATATCCTGGCTCTTCCAAGCTTTATACTGGGAGTCAATGGGTATTATTTTTTTGTACTGTTTCGAGCACTTTTGTCATGGATGGATGCACTTGATGGACTTCCAAAAAAAATATACCCATTGACTCCCATTATAAAGCTTAGAATATAAACTCAGATTATATTCGTCTGAAAGAAGAATGTCATATACACCTAGGATGGCTTCAGGGTGAGAAAATCATGGGCTAATTTTCATTTTTGGGTGAACTATCCCTTTAAGAAAGTATCTCATCATAGAGAAAGATGCGGATGTTCGCACAAACACTGCAACTCACTGGCATGTCGGACGATGAGGTAAAATTACACTGTTATGATACTTTGATTATAAAGTATATTTGAAACTATCTGGCTATGTGAGACTATTTTGAATGAATCCCTTTTCTTTGCATGACACATTGACATTATGCCAGCGGGCACTGGACGTCAATGTAACATCAGGAAGATGTTGTACTCCAACGTTGGACAGATGTCAAATTTTGGTTAAGCATGAGAACCGGGTTTGACGTCAAGCTCAACAGATGTTAAATATTGGTTGAAAATGAAAATTGCGTTGCTAAACCTATTTTTTTTATGACGTCAAGGTCCAATGTTGGGTAAAAGTTTGGTTAAAAATTAATATTGATCTGATGTCAAAATCTAATGTCTTTACATAAAACTTCAACGTTGGGCAGACTTTGCATTGTGGTTGGAATAGAAAGAGATCTCTCAAAACACAAACTTAGCTGTCAATTTCAACTTTAAAGTAAGATGATTACATAGTATGTATTTTGTTGGCATGACATCAAACTTATACCATGGTCAGACAAATGTCAAGATCCACTGTCAGCAGACCCAACATTTTTAAATTACCCCTAAAATTTTAAGTAATCAGCAGAGAAAGTAAACAAACTTATGCTTAACATCTCGCAAACTCTCACTGTGAGAGCACGAGTCGCACCGAAAGCGGAGCCGGTAGTCAAGCCACGCCAAACGCTACCCATTTCATCTCAAAGCTGTAACAGGTGCTGTTCACCGCCTCAGCACGAGACGCAGCCAGTAATACCTCAACAATTTACCACTCGACTGGATGTTGAGCTGGATTTTGTGGACAAACAAATAAGGTTACTCGCTTCAATTCGCTCGCAGGCCCCCCGCTTAGGGTTGCGGAACAACGTGGCTCACGTCCTCTTCACCGAAGTGATGAATTTGCAGGCTAAAGGGGCTGTAGAAACAGTTCCTCCGGCCCACAATGTGTCAGGCTTTTACAGCCGCTACTTCATCGTTCCAAAGAAGGATGGCAGCCTCAGGCCCATCCTCAACCTCAGACATCTGAACTGCGCCCATATGCAACGGCCATTCAAGATGTTGACATTAAAAAAATCCTCTAAAAAAATGCCGGGCCTCATGGCCTCCACGTCACCAGTACTTCAGCTGGGCATGCTTCACATGCGGCCCCTACAGTACTGGATGAAACCCCGGGTTCCCCTCCGCATCAAGGAGGATCACGGCTGCATTATGGCCCTGACCCCTTGGAAGGACCCTCGTTGGTTCCAATCGGGCGTGGACCTGGGAATGGTCTTCCAACGCAGGTTGGAGAGGGCAAGCCGACTTGCGGCTCCTGGTCGAGCACGGAAAAACAGGTTCATATGAACTGTCTGGAAATGCTGGCAGTCTTTCTGACCCCCAGAACCTTCCTGCCAGATCTGAGAGGGCACCATGTCTTAGTCCGATCAGACAACATGGCAGTGGTGTCCTACATAAACCACCAAGGTGGACTCAGATTAAGGCCTCTGTACAAACTGGTGAGACACCTCTTCTTTTGGCCATAACCCAACCTGTGCTCGCTGAGGGTGGCGCATGTGCTGGGCAGACTGAACCAAGGGGCAGACATGCTGTTCCGGAGCAACGTGCCCTCGGAAGAGCGGACACTTCATCCCCAGATGGTTAACATGATCTGGAGTATCTTCTTCGGGAAACCTCAGGTCAACCTCTTCACTTCAGAAAACAACTCTCACTGCCCAATATATATCTCGAGGGATAGAGAAATGGCCCAGCATCCCCCTATACGTCTACCCTCCAGTTCTGCTCCCTCAGGTCATCAGACAGATCAGGGAGGACAGTCGCACAGTCCTTCTGGTGGCCCCCCTCTGGCGAAACCAGCCGCCCCGTGGCCAATTCCCCTGAGGAAGGTACTCATTTCCCAAGTAAAAGTAACAATCTGGCATCCCCAACTAGAGTTGTGGGCCCTTCACCTCTGGCCCCAAAATAGAAGCTGATGGACCTCCCTGCGAGAATCTTGAACACTATTTGTGAGGCTAGAGCCCTGTCCGTAAGACTCTTCTATGCCCTTGTATGGTCTGTCTTCTCCAACTGGTGCACAGTTCGGAATGAAGACTCTACGTCCTGTGACATTTCACTGGTACCGCATTCCTTCAGGAGCTGCTGGATAAGGGTCGCACCCCTTCCATGCTCAGTATATGTGGCGGCCATAGCAGCATTTCACACTCCTGGGGCCAGCCAGTCCATGGGCAAGAACAACCTGGTTGTTCACTTTCTAAAGGGGTCTAGGAGGTATAAATCTCACGGTTCCTACATGGGACTTGTCACAGGACATCCCTTCGAGCCACTCCAGGTGGCCGAATTACAGACCCTTCCGCTAAAGACCGCTCTCCTGCTAACCTTAGCATCGGTCAAAGGAGTGGGTGACTTGCAAGCGCTTCTTGCCTTGAGTTTGACCCTAATGACTTGTAAGGTCGTCCTCAAATCGTACTCCATTCAGAGCACATGTTATTACTCTCTCTGCTTTTTCCCCATCTGAGGATGAGCAGAAGTTTCATTTACTCTGCCCTGTTCGGGCCTTAAGAGTATATATTGAGGCAGCCCATTCAGGCAGTCAGAGCAGCTCTTTGTGTACTCTTTGGCTGCACTAAAGGGCATCCGGTCTCAAAGCAAAGACTGTCCAACTGGATAGTGGATTCCAGATTGCATTGGCCTACGGTTCAATGGGCCTACAGTGCCCCATTGGAGTACAAGTGCACTCCACCAGAGGCATGGCCTCACCCTGGCTATGGTCCCACGGAGTGTCCATTGGCGACACTTGTGTGACGCCCGGCTGGTCCTCGCCGTTCACATTCGCCAGATTCTATAACCTGGATGTCCATGCACTACAAGCACAGGTCCTGTCTGTGTAAGCTGGGCTTCCAAGCGCGGCCCGATTGGACTGGGTTCCCATTGTGTTTAGCGACGCAGTACGAGTGAACCATATCGAAAGGGAACGTACTCGGATACTAAAGTAACCTCGGTTCCCTGAGATAACGGGAACGAGAACTGCGTCACCGACCGTGCTATGATGCTGCATTACTTGGCGTTCGTTGCTTCAGTTGAATTAACCTGATTCTCTAAGGCAGAACGCCTGCTAGACTAGAGGGATAGCCCCACTGATTTCGGCGGGCTCTGGCTGCCTTTCTCACCATAGGTTCGTGCAGCTTCACTGCATTATTCTATAATGTTCAGTAATAATGAAAAATGATTTTTCCCGTGGCGTCTAGCTCCTTCTTCCCGTTATCTCATCGAACCAAGGTTACGTTAGTAAACGAGTACGTTTTATCAATGCATTTCTCACTTTCCAAACCACCACTAGAATACCTTTGGCAATGTTCTAAACAAATAGAGTACAAACAAGATGTGAAAAGATTGAACTGTCATGCATGTATTAATTTGGATGGACCATTGTGGCCTCCCCTTTTTTAGCCATTGCTCTTGCATCCAAAAAGTTGTGGTTGGCTTAGGGATTATTCAAGTTGGGTTCAGGGCATAAACTGCCTGTGGACCAATGAGAAGTCCTGTCCTTCCCATGCTTGAGGAAGTCCTAGCATCCTTATCAGATGGTGTTGGATTTTTTTTTTTGTGCTAGTCCACCAAGATCCAATCGAAATGAAACCTGTCTCCACTGTGGTAGTAAAAGATGGGCCCTGCCATAAATCTGGGACCTGGAACGTGTTGTTCCTAACATGCATATAACGTTGTCAATTTTCATTTCAGTTTGTCAAGCATTTCCCAGCAAACATTAGTGGGAACATCAGGATTACTGTAAAGAAACAAAGAAAATTGTTGGCCTAAGGATCTGACATGGAAAACTTCTGTCCGTCCACATGCAATCCTCTACACACAATGAAGTTGGCACTTTACAGATTAAACAGGTTTTGTCAAGTCAGTTGTTTAAATACATTTCCTGCACATTTGAATGTTTATTTTTTGTTGTTATGTTTATTTTGTGTAACTCAAATTCAATGGTTTTCTATAACATATGTGAAATAAAACCTTTTCTCCAGCTGCCATTTTGAGTGTTGCATTTTTCCCTCATTCAGTTTCTATGAGTTCCTCCTATACTGTTTCTAGCCACATCAATTCGCATTCTTAATTTTATCCTAATCTGACTTTTTTAATGTGCTATAGGAAAATCTAAAGCTTATTTATAAGTAATGCGATATATTTTAAATAAATTATAAATACTGTTTATTTAAAAAAAAGAAATTTCTGCACATGTCTGGGGTACGTTTTAGTGTTAATGTTAGAATGAAGTTTAAAATTAGTACAATAAGTAACAACATTTGCATTTATCTAGGAGGAAGTTAGTATATTTTGAGAAGTCACACTTGATAACAATCTGAACCCATAAAGTCAATGCTACTCATCGTTTAAATGGTTGTGAAACTACTTGGCACTTCAAGTGACTTAACCAGAATCAGTAATGAGGAAATTTCAAGAAACCTAAATAAACAAACGGTTATGAGAAGATCAGTTAAGATCAGATAAGAAGTATCAGTTAATTTTTTTCCTCACTTGTTTAAAAACAATTTAATTAAATTAGGTGTTTGAGTCTGCTATAATCCCAAACTTAGCCTGAAATAAACTTAAGCTAACCTTAAACTGGATTGAAGATCATCTTTGTCTCAGTCAGAACGGACTCAAAGAGTTAACAAAGACTTAGTCTCTTTACATCCCAATTGCTTCGTCCAGGGCTGCATCTCTCAAAAGCATTGTGAGCGGAGTTGATCATAGAGACCATGGAGTATGGTTCTACGATCTACTTTGGCCTACGATGCTTTTAAGAAACACAGCCCATGCAGATCTTTTTTTTATTCTATCAAGATTATCAAGAAAGATTGGTGATAGAAGACGGAAATCTAATTTAATGCATGAAGCTTTTCATCTCATCTTAAATAACCAAATAGCGTGTTGGTTACCAAGAATGATTGATGGGTCACAACCAAATTTCAGAAACTTACCCGGATCAAATTTTTTGATTTGACATAAATCAAAATATAAATATAAAAGCCAAAATATTAAATGTCACAGATGTATATTTACTGAGTAATCCACTATTTTGTCGAGGGGGTAAAATATACTGAAATGGTCAAGTTGAGGCACACTATAACTTGCTCTAAAAAGTGTATTTATAAGAATCTATATTTGAATCAGTTTTAGGGGTATTTGGAAGAAGGGATTTTGTTCATGTTAACAGATTCTGAAGCTACCAAGAGTTCAAATACACAGTATTACATGTTGGCGCATTGACATCCCAATATCTCCAGGAATGAAAGATAAAGGGCCTTAAAATGAAGATCTTATGGCACCAATATTTATGGCACCCAGAAAGGTATATTTTATGCAATTGTGTTGATAGATAGAATTTCTAGTTTCAACATTATTTATTGTTTAGATATTACTCTTTAAAAAAAAAAAAGTATCAGCTGTACGCAAAGTGACCCACATTTGGTTTTTGACCACTGAAAATGACCAATTTACTCATGGAGCCGCATTAAGATCTCCAAATCTCTGGGATTGAACCATCGAGGGCCTTTAAAATGAAGATACCAAAAGAAAAGTTTGTAAAGAACCAGAATCTAAACGGATATTAAGAAATCCTTAATACTTCTTGAGTTACAGGCATGCAAACTTGAGAAAAAAAAGAAGAAAAAAAAACGTGTTTTTCCCCATTTTTTACCTGTCACTGTCAAAGATTGCTAAATATTTTACTTATAGACCTTCCAATCTCTGTATAAAAATAAAATGATGCTACAGTCATTTTTACACCCCTCTAATTTGTCTTCAAATCTCATGTGAAAGTTGTCATTTTGACCCCCTCGACAAAATAGTGGGTTACTCAGTAAATATACATTCATTACATTTAATATTACGGCTTTCTTCTTTATTTATGTGTATTTCTTTCACCAGAAAATAGAAAAGAAACATATTTGCCTGGGGGCGCGGGGTGTTGACATGGAATGACCCTGATGGGAATTACATGATGTTTCCTCATACTGAACATCTGAGAAAAGTCATCCTGACCTGCAACATATTTCAGTCATATAATCTGGTCGGACTTATAACAATTAGTGGATAGAGTTTCAAATAACATGACTGCCACATTTCAGTCATTAGAAAAAAGAAAAAAAAATCACTTCCAGCTACATTACTGAAAATATTTTATTTATAAATAAATATTATTTAAAATAAAAATCTTTTTCACCCGCATGTACTTAGTTTAAAAGTACTGTGTTGATGTCCGACGTTCTTTAATGTTCATGCGAAAGATTATTATTAGTGAAATGATCTGATGTTAAGGTTTATTGACTACAGTCTGATTTGTCACAAATATAATGTTAGCTTATAATCTTCTGGACAAATGTGTTGAAAGCTACAAACCAAACTGTTAAGTTTTGCATCATGACATTCTTTAGGAAGCAAAAGTGTTTCTAAATGTAAAGCTTGTTGTGTATTTTAATTTTGTACAGAAAAGTAAATAACAAACAAAATATATAGCGAACACATTTTTGGATGAAAAACAAACACTTCTAGCAATAAATTGATAATTATTTTAAGAGGGACAGTGAAATTGTTGGAAAAGCAAGTAAGAAAAAAATGTACAGTGAATAAATATATATTTCTTTATTGAAAACCCTCTACCAAAGCTCTAAAATCACACATCAAACATGGTCAGTGAAACAACTTACATTTATGTATTACATTTTTATGTATTGTAAGATTAATATTTAATGAAATATACCGACATTACAGCAAATAAAATACATTTTTCATTATTTCTGTTGAAAAAAAAAATCAGTTTATAGATTTCATTTTGTGAGTCAATTTCCTGCGCCATAAATGCCATATGACTGATCAGATTCAGTCTCTAATTAATGTAATATCATTTATTATAACTCCTTACAGCAGTGTTTTACAGCAGCTTTATTGATCAGTTGAATAGTGCTTTTATTAAAATCACCAACAGATTATGTATGTTTTAATGCATTTGATATTGTTAGTGAGCAGCGAACAGTAAACATGAAGTTACGAGTCAGATTAAATGACAACAGATTTACAGTGATCATGCACATAGACTTATAACTTTATCATGCTCTGCAATGAAGAAGACTGCACATAGTCATGGCTGGTCAAAGGTCGGGAGGACTGTTTACCCAAGACCTCAGCTTATCATTAATTACAAAGCTAGTTATTTATTGAAAAATATCCTGAGCGGAACTGTTTGAATGCTTTTTAATGGCGGTTTTGATAGCTAACTTTGACATTTTAAGTTTTTAATTAAGGAAAAAAATCAATTGAATAATGAAAAATAATAAATAAATGTAGGTCCTAAGTAATGGCTTAAAGGAGAACTCCGGCGCAAAATGAACCTTTGGTCTAATTACACATTGTTACCTAGTCAACCGTTATCTGAGATTTGTTTTCATGATTATCGAATGTAAATAGTTTTATCTCTAAAAACAGTTTAGCCTATCCACCTGTTTCCGGGGGGCGCTACTGTAAAATAGAACGTGGGTGAAACTTCCGGTTAGGTGGCGGAAGTAGTAAATCAACGGTATTTTGTGTTACATAGCGAAGAGGTTAGGTATTTTTCAAGTACATTTTTCTACTATTTAAAGTCGCAAACATTAATGAGAGATGTCGTTACGGAGCTCAGGGACAACATGTGCTGTTCGTGGTTGTACATATAACCGCACTAAACTAATTCAGTGGCTTAAACGTGAGTGTTTTGAACATAAGCCTAAAACTAAATCTGAGTGTTCCTGTGAACGATTATACAGTTTCCATCGCCTCCCAAAAGACGACGAATCAAATAGAATATGGAGGAAAAACTTAAACTTAAAAACACCTCCAAAACACCTGTTTGTGTGCTCGTTTCACTTCGTGGACAAGAAGCCAACACTGGATAACCCGTACCCAACGCTCTTTATGGGTTACGAGAAGCCACCGGAGAAGAGACGCCGACCTAGGATTCGACATGTCACAACAACAACAACAGGTAACTTAACATTTAATCTAATGTCAACTAGCTTGTTTTTTCCTTAGTTTTTCTTGAATTACTTATTATTAATATATGAAAAACTGTGCCATGATGGTAGACAGGTAGCCTGATGTTTTTACCTCACATAAACTTTTATTGTGACGAACTTGGAGGGCACAATGGTACACAGTGACAGATGCTAATTTAATTTCCTCTATTAGTTAACATTTGATGTTACAGAATATCTATATTGATGATAATAAACGCAGTCTAGATGTTTTTCAAGACTCTAATGCCCCCTAATTGTTTTGTTTTTTTCTGCCACTAAACAAAACGTCATTGAAGGACTAACCAGCTAAATATAAGACCGCCACAGCTAAATATGTACTTAATGTATTCCCTGCAGATGAGCCTATTGTGATGCAGGTTTCTGGGGACCCAGATCCTACCTCACAGACCTTTCATGATGCCCAGACACAGTGGTCAGACCCAACAATGGATGACCACACCTACACCAAAGCACCTACCATCACATGTGGTATGACAACTGCCCCATCCACTGAGAGGACACTGTCTGTTGCAGATGTCGTTTTGAAAGACGATACAGACTGTCTGCTGTACACAGGGATTCCACTTCTCGAATTCAAAACCCTTGTGTCTTGCTTGCAACGCTTTGCCCCCACATCACCAGCATTTTCAGCAGAGGACCAAATCCTCTTGACATTAATGAAGCTTAGACAGAACTTTGTTATTGCCGATTTACCTAGACGCTTCAAAATGTCACCTGGTCAGATCAGTAAAACACTGACATTCTGGATAGATGTGATTGCTGAGCACACCCAGGATCTCATTCCATGGCTGCCGCTCGAAACAATAAAAGCCACTTTGCCGCAAATTTTTAAGGACAATTTCCCCAACACAACTTGTGTCATTGACTGCACAGAAAGTGTCTTGCAGAAGGCTAAAAATCTGGACTCAAGAACTGAATCTTATAGTCACTACTATGCAAACAATACTGTCAAGTATCTAGTAGCAATTGCTCCATCTGGTATGGTTGTGTACATTTCAGAGGCTTACGGTGGCAAATGTAGCGATAGATTCATCACACAGAACTCTGGGTTTCTCGACCATTTGCGTGCTGGAGATGAGGTGATGGGCGACCGTGGCTTCACCATCAGAGATCTGCTAGAGGAACGGCATGTTCGTTTGATCATGCCAGCTTTTACGCGCAAGAAATGCCAGCTGACAAATGAGCAGGTCACTCGCACAAGACGCATTGCTAATGTCCGCATACACATTGAGCGAGCAATCAGACGTCTTAAGGTGTACAAGATCCTCTCTCAAACTGTGCCTATTCATTTTGTCCCTAAAATCGACAGAATACTAAAAATCTGTGCAGCACTCGTAAATCTGCGAGGAGAGCTTATTACTAGAACATAGACACCATATCTTACACAATCAGCTTGAGCTTAAATGTTCAATTCTCTCTATAACTTTATCAACTGTATAAACCAATACACAACTTTTACTTGCACTGATTTTTTTTTTCTAAACTGTTGTAATTATTCTTATTTGTTTTGATTATTTTAATTTCTTCTATGTAAAGCACTTTGAATTGTATGAAATGTGCTATATAAATAAACTTGCCTTGCCTTGATATACCAACACCTTTTCTTTTAGTTGTTGTTTCATAGACAGCTATTTTCTTTTTGCTGTGTAAATTTAAATTCTTAATATTTTTCAATCTCGTAATATTTTTCAATCTCGTAATATTCTGCAAAAGAGAGAAATGTGTGTACTTTCACAGTATAGTATTGCTATTTTTATTTAATGAAATGTTCTGAATACAACTGTTATTCAAATGTGCAAATGACACATTAATTTATTCTTATAAATAAATTCAAAAGCCAATGACTAAGTGTCTAATATGTTTTTATTCAGTGTGTATTTTTTATTTATTTTTTTATTGTGGTTTGTTTCCCCCACAATTGTAACCATGCCTTTTATAGGCATGGTATATAAAGACATGGCTTATATATTATTATAATATTGAGAACAGTGTAAACATTCCCCCAACTACGCATTAAACATCTGCAGGTATGTTAAACAGAGATGGATTTTCTTGTCAGCAAAATCATCAGCCAATCTAGGTAGCATGTGAACAAAGAAGAAGTTCTGCAGCTGTTGCACTTGTGCATCTGTGTAGTGCTTATCAAATGGAATCTCCAATTCGATGTCCTCACTTGGTGTCCAGATGACTAGCTTGCAACTTTGTAGGCCCAGACACATCATGGTTAGTTGTGTCTGAAAGAAGGATTAAGAGTACATGTTTGTAAAAATAATCTGTTTAATTAATGCATACAGGTGCATACATTAGAATGTCGTGGAAAAGTTCATTTATTTGAATTTGGGGGTTTCAGAAGCTGTAAGCCATAATCATCAAAATTATAACAAATAAAGGCTTGAAATATCTCACTTTGCATATAATGAATCTATATAATATATTAGTTTCACATTTTAAGTTGAATTCCTGAAATAAATTAACTTTTCCACGACATTCTTATTGAGAAGCACCTGTAAGTTAACAATACATGTTAGTCTAATAATAGAGCTACTTTCATATTAAAAAGTATATTTCTAAATATAGACAATATATTTTATTTAAAAACAATAATCTTTATTATTAAATTATTAAAGAATCACCTGGAGGTAGTATCCATCCTTTCCTTTAGGAGAAATCAGGTACTGTCCATCACCTAAACTTTTGATGTCACCATTTGGCCGTCCTAGAAATTCTGCCAGTGACATGGAACTCTTGAAGAGGCACTTGATCTCAAGGAGTTGTGCTGAGTCAAGGATCCCATCTGGGCTGGCTCCCAACCAAGGATGGTCAGGGTGCACGACCAGGCCTCTCTTCTCCACAGAATGCCCTCTGCTTTCCATGAGTGTGATGACGTTTATCTCATTTTCTTTGCCATGCAGTGTTGCTGTATTGCCGGTGAATGTTGGGTACAGATGCTCATTTAGAAATTTTTGAGGATCTGTGGTGCTTCGTTTTGGGACCCGTTTTGCTGTGCTGGCTGTTAGACGAAGCTTTCTAGCATCATGCCATGACTGTGAAGCACTTTGCATCCTGGTTTCTTCCATTAGTGTAGCTGCTTGTGTAGGGGACACTTTAATGTAGGCCTCATAAAAATGTGTGCATTTTGGACATGTTAGTGTTGTGCTGTGTTCTGTATGACAGAGTGTATTACTGTGGGCTGGATCATGTTTGCTGTGGCCTGCCTTGTTGCTGTCTACATCTGCTCTATAACTTAACTGAATAAGACCATTTGTCTGGAGCTGAAACAGTGGGGCCATCACTGATGAATTACTGTGGGCTATGAACTCTCTGTGGTTCTTAAAAAGTTGGGGAGGCATTGTTGATTCTTGCATTGTTGATGTGCCTGGATAAATGTGGTATGGCCTGTGATGGTTAAAATTAATGTTCTTCACCTTCCTCATTCCCACATTCTTCTTCGCACCTGAATTCCACTTCCTTTGCACATCAGTGCATGCCATCCCTGTCTTTCCCTGCCTGACTGCATTCTCAACCTAAATTGAATTCAATTTTTATTATTATCCAACAATATTAAAATAAATATTTTAAGTCAAGGCTACTGTGAAGCAACACATACAGAACATGAATGACACACAGTAAACATTTCAGTTTAGTACATTTATTAATTAATAAAAAATATACAATAATACACAATACAATAATACATTTTGTGCCCTTAATTGTCCTAACTTTACTGACCTTCCACAAAAGTGCTGCTGCATGACTACAAGAGCGTCCTGGCCCTGCAATACATGAACAACCCGCAGTCTGTACTTCACCTGCCACTGAAACTAGCACCCAAGCCTTATGATGTGTTACGTGCAAACTCTGGCTCGGCTCAATGTCAGCTTTTAGATACGCAAGGTCGTTTCCGACGTCCTTAAACAACACTCGACCGACTTTATCACTGTGTAGATATTGATATGCCTCTGAGCTTTTCAGGTTGCTCATCGCCTTACCATCACAGGCTACTGAATCTACAAAATAGCTAAAAATGTTACCATACGTGATACGAGGCCACTTCTTCACGTCATCCTCCCAACCATCTACCGCGGATGGTAAAGGTACTGTTATATCACCCCTTTTTATTTCGTTGAGGTTGTGTTCCCACATCATTAAGTTTGGATCGCTAAATCTTGAATGACGGTCAACTAATGAATGAATGAGTGTCAACTCCGGCTTGTTTACTTCGAACTGGAAGTCGCGCCCACTTTTGACGCAATGCCTCATGGGACGTAGGAAACTTGTGGATAAAGCTAGTATAACGCTAGTATATTGGGCATAGTGTAATGACAAATAAAAATCGCTTGTTAATACCACTAACAAGGCTGAAAATAGACCCACACTAGCACGGTAGCATAATGAGGGTCCCTACCTTCAAACCGAAGCATTGAGAACTTTGTCAGTGTCCAGACAGTTTAATAAGAAGATATTTTAAACATACAGTCAACTTCGCGTATACAGGCAGAAGCCATCTTTGAAATACAGCCTTTACCAGTCGATCTACGAACGCCGATCCAAGTGCGCTGGTGAGATGTGAACGAGCTATAAGTTGTGATAAGGTGAGCGCGAACAGCAGGCTTGGATCGGCGTTCGTAGATCGACTGGTAAAGGCTGTATTTCAAAGATGGCTTCTGCCTGTATACGCGAAGTTGACTGTATGTTTAAAATATCTTCTTATTACACTGTCTGGACACTGACAAAGTTCTCAATGCTTCGGTTTGAAGGTAGGGACCCTCATTATGCTACCGTGTTAGTGTGGGGCTATTTTGAGCCTTGTTAGTGGTATTAACAAGCGATTTTTATTTGTCATTGATCTATGCCCAATATACTAGCGTTATACTAGCTTTATAGGCTAAACTGTTTGTAGAGATAAAACCATTTACATTCGATAATCATGAAAACAAATCTCAGATAACGGTTGACTAGGTAACAATGTGTAATTAGACCAAAGGTTCATTTTGCGCCGGAGTTCTCCTTTAATTATATATATAAAATATATATATATATATATATAATCTCTTCAGTGGGTTGTACTATTATTTAATGTGTTTTTGGATTGTTCTGCTGACTAAACACTGCAAAACTATTTTCCGAGAAATTTCAGTTGACAAAAAAACCCAACAAAATGATCTAGGAGCTGTTTTTTTTTTTTTTACAGCGGATGCCATTGAAAACACAGTAGCTGTGTCCCAAATGACGTACAATACACTATGCACTTATACACTGCACTTATGCACAATGTACTCAACCGTGTAGTTTATGAAATTTATACGTTTATTTTGTCTTTCAACATCGGCGTCTGATGCCCCTCCCCCTCCGCTACATCATCACAGCTGTGACAGTCGAGTGCATCATCGAGTGTCTAACATTAATAAGTGCATCATCCGGGTACTTAAAGTTTTCAGTGTGAACGCACTCCTCACACTATTTATACTACAAAAGGGCGTAGAATAGTGCTCAAGTATGCGATTTGGGACGCCTATCTCTCACAGCCTCGCTTTCATACCTGTCATGGCGCTGCTCTGAATGAGGTCTGGCTGCGTCCCAGTTCAGAGGCTGCATCCGTCCAAGGCCGCATTTGAAGGCCATTGCGTCACCGCGGCGTGATGAAGGCTCCTCCAAATGTGTCCTTCGTTTCCCGTGAAATTAAGGATACAACAGATGAATCCTTCACGGCCTTGTCTACCCCAGAATTCATTGCGTGCTGAAGGATTTTTTTTGAGAGAGAGAAGTTGCCAAATTACACTTTTTAACGTAAAAATTGGGTTTCAATGTACTTAAAGGTCCCATATTGTACACCTTTCTGACGTTTTATATTAGGTTTTGATGTCCTTAAGAATATATATTTGCGGTGTAAGTACCCAAAACCATCCCAATATATTTTTACAGCTCCTTTCTCAGGAGCTCTGCTTAGAACAGGTCAGTTTTGGCCTGTCTAATTAATATTCATGAGCCTCTCTTCTGATTGGCCTGTTGTTTTCTGAGTGACGCACGGCCAGGCCAATAGGGTCATGTATGCTGTAGCCTGCTGTGGCTGGGTGATGCTCTCAAGTAAGGTAAAGAAAACACCTGTAATGATGGACATTGCTGAGGGAAATGTTATCCGGCCTTATATGTTCGAGCCGGACTCAGATCCCGAATCGGTGACGACAGGAGACAACCAACCACCTCCTTACTTTCGGCGTTATTGTAAGAGTATTATTATACATCAATCTGCACGCAGATTTAACCTTAACGCTAATTTAAACTGTCTGTAAACAAACTCAGACTTTTTTTGTCAAATTCCAAAATATGTACGTTAATAGCTAGTTATACACTGATTTTGAAACACTTCACT